ACACCATTCTGTTGAGGAGAATATGGTGCCGTGAGCTGTCTTTTGATCTCATTCTCATAACAGAAATCCTTGAATTTGCTGGAATTGAATTCAAGGCCATTATCCCTCCTTAGGCACTTCAGTACACAGCCACTTTCCTTCTCTGTAATAGCCTTAAACTTCTTGAACTCACCAAAAATTTAAGCTTTATTCTACAGAAAACAAACCCAAATCATCTTAGAAAAATTATCTATGAACAAGCTAAAATACTTGCATCCACTCATGGAGTTTTCTGTCATTGGACCACAGATGTCATAATGGATAAGTGTCAGCCTCTCTTCTGCTTTCCAATTTGCTTGCGAAGGGAAGGAATTCCTAGCCATTTTTCCCATCTGACATGCCCCACATACTGACTCAGTGATTGCAATGTTTGGGAAGTCCTTGGTTAGACCTCCCTTGTGCAATTGTTGTAGCCCAGCCGCATGAAAATACCCAAGGCGCTTGTGTCAAATCTCACATTCTGTTACAGAGGCAACACTGACTTTCTCGACTACTTCTATGAACTTCAAGGAGTAGACTTGATCCTTCTTTTGGATGAAAGTGATCAATCTATCCTCAGGATCATATATTCTGCAGCAATTATCCTTGAATCCAACCGAGTATCCTCGATCAGTCATCTGATTCACACTCAGAAGATTCTGTGAGAGGGTAGGAATAAAATTCACATCAGTGATAAGAATATTCTGTGAAAGGGTAGGAACAAAATTCACATCAGTGATAAGCTTCCTACCTTCCCTGGTTTCAATGGCTATGTTGCCTTTGCCCTTGATGGTTTCCAGCATACCATTTCCAAGACGGACCTGGCCTGAGATTGTTTTATCAAGTGACACGAACAAGGCCTCATCCTTGCACATGTGGGAGGTGCACCCACTGTCCACCACCTAGAGAGTATCATCCTCCACTGCCAGTTTACTAAACACAACGAGAATTGTGTCACGTTGCTCACAGAACACCTCAGTGACATTGGCTTGCTGTTGTTCCTGCTTTGGCTGCGATCCTTCCTGCTTCTGCTTCTGCCTGCAGAATTTCTCCTTATGACTAAGCCTTTTGCAGAAATTGCACCGAACGGTTTTCTTTCCCTTATACCAGCACTCATTTTCAGAATGATTTGTCAAGGAACAGATGCTGCATTGAGAATATTTCTTTTGTTTACTGGAATTTTGATTTCCAGTTTGATCCCTTCACTCATTCTCACTTGATTCTGTGTTGAAGAGCTACTTTTGATCTGAGTTGAAATTAAGGCTCCCTCGGTATGTTTTCGAACATGCATATTTACCCGTTGCTCACTAGATTGAAGCTTGTTTATCAGCTCAGCTGAAGAGATAGACTCAATCTCGGCAAGCTCCTCTAAGGCTGATATTTTAGACTCGAATTTGGGGGCAAGCTGATAAGAATCTGCTCTACTACCCTTGATTCCAGAAAATCCTCCCCAAGCAGTCTCATTTTGTTTACCACATCCGAGAGTTTGGATGCATAGTCCTTCACTGATTCATTTTTCTGCATTCTGAGTAATGCAAACTCACTCTTCAGTCTCAAGATTTTTACCTTCCTGCTTCTGACTCCCCCATCAACTCTTTCTTCAGTTTCTCCAAGCACCCTTTGATGATTCGAAATTTCATAATCATTGAAAACACCCTATCCA